AAATATTAAAATCACGATGTATCGCGCTGCATTGCGCGAGTACGTTTCTAGTTTCCTATGTTATCCATCTACCCTCTCCAATAGCAACCTGTTTTTCTTAGAATTTAATAGTGTTAATAGGAAAAACCAAATTAAACAAACAGTTATGTAATTATTATTAATCAAAAGTCTTTTTTAGACAGAGATAGTTATAATTAGATAACTACGAAAGATGTTAGTTCTAATCTATCTCTAATATGTTTATATCTATCTATATCGTCATATCATTTAGACGATGACACACTTTATCCTATAACACTCCTTCTTGTGACGAATCAAATAAGTGATGGTGCATAATTGTTACCTCGTTAAAACCTTACACCAAAATAAAAACCCAATGAGAGGACAAAAGAAATAGTACAACGCACCAGCTTCTTTGCAGTGCATAGACTTTTTCTTTAGTCAAATTATCTCTTAGATTTGTATATTAATCATGAGAGTTAGGAAGCATGATGGTGTGTAAACTGTTGTCTAAAACCTTGCACCAGGGAACAAAACTCAATGGGAAAAATAAAATCGTGGGTAGAGGAAAGAGCACAAGTACCAATATTACAAATATAGTAGGCTCCCTATTTTGTCTACTACTCCCCCTGATTCGTGCTTAATCAAAGGAGCTTGGAAAGTCTATCCAATCCGATATTTTCCATACGTTTCTCAAATATGGTTTTTGGAAATGATTTGGTAAGAAAATATGTCACATTCTCCTGTCATCTTACTTGATTAACTTGAATCAAGATGGGAATTTGTTATTGCTAATTGTATAAAAACTTATTTGTGTTATCACCCTTGATGTATCTTACATTCGTTTATGTGATACATGATGCATTATTTCCATATATGCAGGTTGGATATCGTATGAACTCAAAACATTAGCTCATCTAATATGTGTAATAATAGTCATCAACCAAGTACACTATAGAATAGTCTCATATATGGTAATATTCTTGTAATAGTTCAAAGAGGTAGCTACAAGGATTTGCTTAGTTTATTTCCAAGCAATCGACAAGTTACTTTTGTTAATTTCTTATCTAATTTTGGAACAACCTTTATATGGGTTAGATAGATAACTAATATCAGCAAATACATATCAATACACTGTTTGGTGTTTTCTATAAGGGTTGGTACCTTTTTCGTTTCACTATCTAAGTATGTATTGAAGTTTCATTATCAATCTTGTTTTTCTCACTGTAGGGAAAGTATAAGCTCACGTCAATGGTTCCAAAAGATTGGTTTGATAACATTCCAATCATGTTGTGTTGGCGTTGGGCTAAATCCAGCTAACAAGTTCATTGAGAGATACAATATATGGTCAAATGTATCGTGCTAAGTACAGTAATGTGCCTATTGTACTTAGATATGGAATTCTAGCTCCATACACCTCTTTGTCATCATCCTTTAGATGAAACAGATCTTTCCTTGTATCCAATAGTTTGACCGATCATGAGAGTGCTAGCTGGATGCGCTTTGTCTGTAACATCCATCTTTCTGATATGCCTTTACTTTATGCTTAAATGTGATCTAAAGGTTGGAATACCCTTAAATATGTTTGAGTAAGATTTTGGAGTGGTTATATGTTAAGAAATCAAAGTACGTTGCGTTTTGGCTAAGTATGTGTTGAAAATATCATATATCTTTTTTTTGGTATGGTTTTGAGCATTGGGGTCGAAGGAAAGACTTTTATGAAATTTGAAGGTTTGGAACTAAGTTTAGAATCAATTGGGAGGTATTAGAAGTGTTGCAGAATTTTTACGCGATTCCAATCATAAAGTCAAATAACTAAATTAAGGAAAGTATAACGTCTAAGTTATAAATAAGTACTACTGCTTTTATTGAGAGACATTTTCTGGAATATTTTTATTGTAAGTTGTAGGTTATCTCATTACGAACGCATAGGCGAAAACCTCATCAAAAACGGAGTTCTGAGCGAAAAGTTATGCAATTTTTAGTCTTTAGTAATCAAAATGAGTATCAAACCGGGTCAACCCGACCCAACTCGGGTTTAAGACGTGAAAACCCTCAAAAAAGCCCCATTTTACCCACATTTCACCCAAAATCAGTTCTAAGGTGAGCACATACACACTTGGAGCTAATCTAATCCTAAATCAAGTGATTTAACAAGATTTTTGAAGGATTTGTAAAGAAATCAAAGGTAAAACTCACCTCATAGTCTTGTTTTTGTTTTGTACATAAATTGATTAGTTATGAATCCATGCATGTGATGATTTAGTAATTAAATTATGTTAAGATTAAGTGTTATTATCTGTTAGTATGTGAAATCCATGGATGAATTATAAGATTTCTTGAAATGTATAATGTTAACTCAAGAACATGTGTTGACTTTTAGGAGTCAAAGTGAAATATGAAGAAATTGGAAGGAAATTGATGTTATAATCAGGTTTATGATTGATTTATTCTGTAATATGGTAAAAATAAGTTAATATATGAATTTGGAATTGATTGGGCTAGTATTGGTCATGTTTTTGAATGAAAAATGGATGTTTTGAGCATATGTCAACATGGTTACAGCTTAGTCTTTGAAAAATCATATAAATTCGTATAAAATTCCTAAAATTATGTATAAATAGGCCCTGAAAAGGAAAGAGAAAGGGCTACAACTTATCTTGAGGTCAAATGGTGATTTTGAGTTTTAAAGGGTCAAAACAGGTCTACAAGTTGAGTGTTTAGAGTGGAATTCAAAGTAGATTGCCTTAATTGAAATGGGAATTGTGTGAGTTCTTGATGTGCATCACTAATGAGACTTTGAATATGACTTCCAGGGATTTTTTTTAATACTGTAAGGAAGTCTTGGAGGTGGTTCTCAACCTTTGAATTGGAATTGAGATTCGACCACTCGGTTTGGCATTCGGTTTAATGCAACCGAAGTGTAATGTGAGTTTACTTGGATATGTGTCTATTATGTGATATATGTGTATATGTACTATCCTTATGGTCTTGATACTTATTATACCATGATCACTTTGTAATGGTCTATCTGTTGTTTTGTTCTTGTGTTGGGCGTCGGTTGTCGGGCACCTTTGGATCCGGGTGAGACAACCGGAGGGGGCTGTCCCTACTCATATGTCCGGGATGGAGGATGGTTATTGTAGGAAGATGAGTAGAGGGTTTGTACACCATCCGAGAGTGGAGGAACACGGATTGGTCAGTCAAACCTAATGTTTGTTGGTTGATTTGTACATAAATTGTTGGTTAATGTACTAGCTATGCATAGCATGATTATGAGTATCTGATATGTTTGTGAGATAAGTTCATGTGATCGAGTACTCGTTGAAAGTTTATTGCCTTTGTTGTTTCCTTGAGAACCTATGTTTTGATAGCACAT